TATCAACAAAGATTTAAAGCCTAATACCAATGCTTGTTTGGCTTTGTTGTGGTTCAATTTTATCCTTGGTTTAGATTTTTTTTCCTTTGTTTTTGGCTATGGTAATGTCTAATAACGAGTTTGAAACAAAAGAAAAGTAAAATTAAACCAAGGATAGAATTGAACCACAAAAGCTTCATGTAAATATCAAGTAATGAATTGGTAAAGTTTCATTGGTTTAGGAACCAAATTACATACAATTTACTTGGTTCGTTTGGAATCGGATTTTTCTGATTATGCCAAACTGAAAACAAATAATTAAAAGACGTCGAAGACAATTCTGACTTTTAAGGGGGAAAAAAATCGCTATTTTTTGATGATTTCGCTTTTTGTTTTGTAGTTTCCTTTGTCCTTCTTCAACTACTACATTCCAGTTTTCACAGTTTGTATTTAAATTGGCTCTACGTTTTCAAATGTACCAGCTGGAGCTAGCGAGATAACAATGATAAACCGGTTTCATCAGATAAAATAGACGCAAACACTTCTGACAAAATAATTTTACATCGATCAGCGTGAAGTATTTACACCTGTTGAATTTTGCTCCAAGCTGTTGAAAAAAATCTTTTTCGGATGCAAACGTTTTTTAAAATGCTCGTTTGGGACACGATAACGCGAAAAAAAAGAAGTCAAAAAGCGTTTGTGGCACGACCAAGTTTATTCCGAAATTACCAAAGTGAATTACGAAGTGATCTGAGAAATAATATTACATCTGTAGTTTGAAAACTATTTTCGGAAAAGAAGGTACAAACTCAGAAAGTAAGACGGAAAGCCGGCCCTTTTTGAAGACTATTTGCTGAATTATTTGTCATACATAGGATTAAATGGAAGAAACGAAACAGGATTGATTATTGAAATCTACCGTTTAGTGAATGATATCCATGCTAATTTTGCATTTTGTAGTTTTTAACTTTTTGAGTGAGACGTAATTTAATTTTACATCTCTCTTGAAGAACAATGATTATTGTTATGGTTTTTTTTTTCTAACTGCTGTTGAGTCTGACAGCAGTTCACCTTCTTTTTCTGTATATATTTAACAGTATCCTTACGGACATTGGTCAAAACATTTAAACAAGCCACCAGCCCGTAAGGCGACATGTTATTGGTGCAGAGGCGTCATAATTTATTCTGATTTCCGAAACAGGTGAATTTATGATTACGAAAACGTAATTCTAAACAACGAGGAACGCCGAGAGCAACCATTCAGTCTAAACACGATAGCATGGAAGAGTTTAAAGCTAAAACTTCCAGGTTAAGACACGAAATCGACGAAGCTGAGGACAGGGAAAAAGCTGCGACGAAGAAACTTGATTTTAAAAGGCATGAAGCGGATGAAAAAGAAAAAGAAGTCGATGCATTGAAAAGAAGAAAACGGCTGCTTGAGGCGAAACTCGACTCTGTGGAAGACCGTATTTTCGACAAAGAAAAGTCGTACCGTGAGGAGCTTGAGAGGTTAGAAAGGGAGGACAGACAGCGAAAGATCTTGGATGAAATGGAGGAGGAAGATGAGCGAAAACTGGAGAAACTTGAATTGTCGATAGAAGAGTACAAGAAATCGGCCGACTACAGCGAGAACAAATGCGCCGAATGCTGGCGAAAGTTGCAAAATATGTCTAAAGAAAAGGAAAAGTACAGGCTGAGATTAAAAGTCGCAGAAGCAAGGGGCCGAGAGCTGGAGGAGCAGAACAGATTAGTTGGCCGAAACTTGCGTAAATTGGCAATTGATGAGGAGAAACGCGGTGATCGCGAGGAGGCATGCGAAAATAAGATACGAGAATTGTGGCAACTGAGGCGAGATGAGGAAATCCGATACGAGGCGGCGGAAAGGAAGGTTGGAAGACTTCAGGGTGAACTTAACGTTATAAAAGACAAGATTCGCGAGGAAGAAAAGAAAATTGACGATGTTAGATCAGATTTTGATGAAACGATGAACGGATTGGGTCGATACTAAGGTGTGTAGCGAATGATTTATCCGAAAATCGAAGTATAAAAAGTCAATAAACATTAATAACATCGATGGAAAACAAAGAAATTCGCCCTTTGCTTCTCACTCGCAAAGAAATGGCATTTTTAGCATAGAATTGAACGAAACTAAATCTTTTTGGGGGATTATAACTTTCTCGCTTTGTTGACAGCGACCAAATATGAGAACCAGTTTTGGAAATTTCATTTTCGAATAGAGTGGAAAGAAATTCTCCTCTGCATATAAAATCATTTGCATGGAATTCTTGATAAAGCAGTTTGCAATATAAGTGACATGAATTGTCAAAAAAGCGACGACTTTTGGAGAATATTCGATCGTTTAAAGCGCTAGCAATTTCTTTAAAAAAGGCTGTTTATAGGAGATGATTTATATTTCAGGGCCATCGCTGAAGTGTATTAAAATTCATGTCTTTAAATTTTCGGTAAAAGTTGCTCGAGTCGCTTTTTGTTTGCATTTGTATAGAAAATGCAAATCTTTGTTTGACAAACACGTGTCCTACCTGTTAGCAAAACGTAATGGCTTAAATGACGTCGCGGAAATGGTCGATCGATTTATTTTAATTTAATTTAATTTCAGTAACAATTTTGTGAGATCCGCTGAGATTGAATATATTTGTTAGGAAATTAAAGGTGTGTTCAACAAATCTTTTGTCCGAATAAAAACATATAGAAAAATGACTACATTTTCCTTCTATTCAATCTACGCGAGCCGGGCTGAATAAGTGGTTTGTGGGCTGCTTATTTTATGATATTGTTTTTCTCTCTTTCGGAGATATTAGTATTAGTTGGTGCTATCTTTTTTGAAATTCAAGGTGAAATAAAGTTTTTGATTGATTGATTGATTTTTTTTAAATTCCAAAATACAACCAATCGAATGCACTTTAAATAATTTCTAGTCTTCACCTGCCTTTCAAGGCTGAGTCATACGTCAAGCATGTGTTAGTCACATTCGACGTAGTATTTATAGCTGTGTCTTCATCACGTATTTGGAAAAATTGGGGGGGTCAGTAACTCTCCAGACAGGTTCTGCGATTGGGGAACGAAACAATAAATGATTCAACACAACCAATACCCTTAGCCCTAAAAACAAGAGAAGCTACTGCTTATTTAGGCCAATGAAAATAGGGGTCTGGAAGAGCTCCTGTACTACTCGAAAAATGGAAAGCGCCTCATCGAAAATTGTCAAGATCGAAAGTCAACTCAGTATCAATATATATAGAATTAGAAAGCCCTGTAACTCCACTACATACGTACAACATGGCTATTGGGTCTATTTTTAAGCTCGGAAGTGTGTAGCTTGGCTGGCCCATCCCACTGTCCCCGAAGCCATTTTGGCCGCGTGCCACTGCCTGTTTGAACGCCGCTTACCATTACCGTATATCTGCTAACTTCGGTACTCGTGAAATTGTTATGATAATCAGTTGTTAACTACGAAGTTAATATTTTGTGTGACAGGCCCAACTTGAAGTCCGACAACATGAAGTAATTACTTGCCAACTTACTTACGTATACTTTGACCGATCTCCCGATAGAGCCAGAATAAAGAAAAATAAAACTAGTTTGTAGCATAAGGTTTCGGTTGAAAATATTTCTTATACTGTATGTGTCAGCGCCTTTCTTTCCCTAATATCGACCTAATGTACAGAACAGAACGTAAGTGAAGTGCAAACGCAACCACGTCTTCCGTTTTGTTTTGGGTTCGTGCGTTGCCTGTAAAAAAGACAGACGTTTTAGGTCGATTGAATTTGTTATTACTTTTCAGGAGAGAATGAGCTTTGCAGTCTTTATCTCAGCAAAAAGTTTTCCCGATTTAAAAAATCTCTTAAAGCAACCAGCTAACTTCGTACAGAAAAAAAAAGCATGGCAGTGGATGTATAGCAAGGCAAAGATAGATAAAACCCATCAGCAGTCATTGGCCAGTAGTTTTAAGCGGGTAGCATGCTCTGTGGAATGCTTTTTTTCAGGTGTTTCCACATTCTCCTTCCCTGAGTCATTAATTAATTTGTAACGAACGAAGATCCTTCTTCATCGGGAACCTCTTTAGGATACACTTCAAAAAAACTATTTCCATTTCACTGAATATCTTAAACAAGGATACTAAAGTACAATATAATCCGCGCCTTTCTCCCACCGAAATGTGGCATTTTTGAGAACCAAATTAGGAGGTAGTTTTGGGATTGTTCAAAGATAAGGGCGCTCTCGAACCGTAAAGCAGTCTACCTTGATACCTTTACTCTTAATTAGAAGCCACGACAATGCAAAGAAAGGAATATGGAATATATTTATTCTGTTTTGTTTTACGTGTGATCAAAGTGCAGAAATTAAATCTATTTAGAAATACACGTTTCCAGTTTGATAACATGTCCTAGTAAAAGCTATGCGCGCGGACAAACAATTTAAACATTTATGCTGCACTAACTAATACATGACGTTTTTAAATTTAGCTGGTGTGCTGCCAGCGTCCATTGTTCACTTTCTGTCAGCCTGTCAAAAGGCATAGAATGTACCTGCTAGGTAATTAGCAAACGCCTCCGTAACGAGAACCAACATAAGCAACTTTTATCGTAGATACCAAGTATCTCTTATTTCTCTTGATGATCCCCATTAAGTGAAATTTTCTGCGTTTTGGAAAACATTCAAGAATTTGCCGATGCAACGCTTAACTGTTTCTTCCTGATGTTTGGTCTTTATTTTCAAAATGATATGACTTGATAGCCAGGCCATTTCAAGCTTTTCAATTAAAAAATATATATATAATTTTTAGAGGCCTATGGATGTTGCATGCTGAAATAATTCGATCTGTGTTAGCTTTGCGTCGTGCTGATGGTGAGTGTTCGTTATAAATCCTGTTATGTATCTATTAGTATTCTCAGCAGCTGAATGCGCGTAAATGTTTCCTGGGTGCTACGGCCAATCATCTACCATTTTAACAAGTGTCTCCATGTCACGTGACGCGTAGAATAACATGAGGAGGATTGTCTAATTTTGTTATAGATTTTATAGCAACATTCAATTTCGTGTCCATCTGTGTATTTGAACTTGAACTAAAATCCAGCAAGCTGCCAGGTAGAAAGGACAAGCTGATATTGATTTAAAGATGGCTATATTTGGAGTTCTTGGATTCGGTTTGACAACAACAGCTCTGTTGATCACGTTTGCCAAATATTTCGTAAGAAACTGGTTTCCTTATTTTATGGTGAGTTTGGTCCTCTTCGAGATTGGAATGTTCTCCATGACAAAGGGAAAGACAATTCAACCTGAAAGGCCACCGACCAGGTCAGAGAAAACTGAAGAAGGAAGAACGAACAGAGCTCCACCCGCGTCACCGGGGGGAAATAAAAACAGCCCATCTCCGAAAAATACAGACAAGGCCGGCGGTCAATCGGCAGCGACAAGCAAGCAAGACAAGGCAGCAAAGAAAGCTCAAGCAAAGGCAGCAGCCGCCGCTGCCAAATGAAAACTATGGCTTTGTTATCGGCTTAAAGTATTTCATTCTCTTTTAATTCATTGCGCGTTGCATTGAATTTTGGACATTTCCAAGTGGACCCTTTCATTGGTTAATGAACTCTGCAACTTGAATTAGACAACAATTCTGAAGTGGAAATCTTTTCCCCATTCACTGCTCGTTATAAATTTGTATCTATTTTTATGGCAATGATTCTGCATTATTCAGTTTTCAATGCTAACACTGATGGAGTTTTTATATTATTAGAAATAATGTTGTCATCTACTTAAACGAAGAAATGGGATTTTAAACAAATCATCACATACTTTAAACAACATTAAGAGAGTCCCTAACTCAGTAATAGTTTCATCATTTAGAAATAAGTATTTGTTCATTAGGGGAAACCGTTTTACTCTCTCCAATTTAAGACCCATTTCCATAGAATAGTTAATTATTTAAACTTCTACAGCTTGTTCAAAATCATTTTAATCCTTCTTTTCTAACAATAGTTTTAATTCCTAGATGTTTGCTAAAGCTTGTTTTAAAATCTAAAGTACATTCATGTCTCTAACTTTTTGTCCGATAATTTTTATAAATTTATTTATTCTTTCTTAACTTTGTCTCCTTGCTCTGAAAGTTGCATCGGTGCAACAAAGTTTTTTGTAGAAGGTTGGTGCGCTTCTAAAAATAAATTGATTGAAAAGTGGACCCTGTCAAACAGGTGGCTAATGTATTCTTTATTGTCAGTAACGCAGATGAATTAACTCACAGGCTGAAAAGGGGGGGGGGGGTATTAATTGTGTAAAGTAGTGAGAGTTATTTCATACGGTGACGGGCTAAAATGGTAAAAAGAGACATCCGCCTTTCGGCGATTATGATCGAGAGGCAGTTGTATTTGTAGTAGTTTAATCGCTCCCGTCATTTCCAATAAAGATGTAATATGTACGCGTAAATCCAAATTTGTTACTGTCGAAACTGCAGCTAAGACATTTAGCCACAGTCGAGAAAAGTCATCGAACATTTTTCTTATTTTTTTATCATTGTCTCTCACTTGTTGCGTCGAGTATGAAAAATTAAAACTCTTTTGGAATAAGAAATAAAGAAATACTTTCATTCCATACCTTCAATAAATGAAGCGCTTAATTTTATTGGTCAATTGAGTATTCACTCTCTACCAATGTAACCGGTCGAATCGGCGGAAGCTAGCCAAGCGCGCGCGATTTGCCGCCAAATCGATTTTTCAAGGTTTTGGAAGACGAAATGCAATGTGAAATTTAGTCCATTTCAATTTTGTGTGAAACAAAAATAGAATGTTAAAATGGGCTTCATCAACACTGTTCTGCTTGACTGTCGAAACCGGTTTTCAGAAAATTGATGGGGTCCAAAAGATACATTTGTTAATCCGCTTAAACTGCCCCAATTTACAATTCTGAAAAAGGCCGATGAAAACATGGCACTCTTAGAACAAGATATAAAAACCTACATCCATGAATAAAAAACCTTCAGAGAGATAGCTAGGCAGTATTATTAAAGTTCGTCAACAAATGGCGCCCTGTGTGAAGTTCATTTTTTGCCATCAAACTTCTTGGTTTTGGTTCTGCTTTCTTTTGAGCTACAAACCATAATTAAAGGGAGAGCACTTCAAGAGAAACCAAAAACCGAAGCCATTTTCGTAATCAGCTTGATGATTCCAAAAGTCTGGGTGTATGCCCGTTTACTGATATGCATAAACGTCATATAGGCCGCACAAATTTTCATAACAACTGACAAACGATTTTCTATAAAAGCATTTTAAAAATAGGTAAAAAGGTTATAAGCTGAGCCCGCAATAACTAGGCTACATAATGTGGTTGCTGCAGATCCTCGCTTCCTGCTAAGCCGTAGAGGAAAGAGCCCTTGCGGTTTCCAAAACAAATTTTGCGCTTAGAAAAAGATATTGTTTCAGGTCTGAGCTGACAAATTACAGGCCACCAAACTGATGCATTTTTCATGCGCGACTCAAGAATTGAAACTTTATCAAAACGCTAACTCGTTGTTCGATATTACTAAACCATTTCTCCTCTTTCTTGAAATATTTCTGTAATCGCCAAATGGACTATATAAACAGCGGAACGCTTTGAAGAAATGGGACGTGAATGATGAAAAAATTGAGACACTTCAAGTTTTGATAAACTACGGCTTCAAAACGCGTATATACCTGCTTAAAGACAGGCTTGCTAATTACTTGTAAAAAAACCGACAGGTGTTTGTACTCTCAGCAAGATTCTGGCTAGCCTACAACTGATACCGAAAGGCAAGTCACACAGTTTCAAACACAACGGTTTTGTGGCCCAGACGCAGAGCACCTAGCCATGCAGATAGACAACGTTGCAGTGATATCATTGCTCCTTATAGAGTGAAGCATTTAGCCTTGCCATAAAAAAAGGAAATCTATGATTGTAGAACAGAAGCTAGACAATCGAGGGACCTAAAGAATTCAAGGCAACAATTTCCAGCGTATTAGCTTTACGCAGCAAAGAAAAAAGTAACAAAGAAGTTTCTGACTTCGGTTATTCGCCTCAGGAAGGAAGGCATGTTAGACGTTTCATTGTTTGGAGTAGTGGCCATTTTCTTGTGTGCTGTTCTAACTGCACTCTTATGGTCGTACGGCTTGGAAATTTTCACAAAATGCATCAAATTGATCATAAAGGGGACTTTTAAGGTTATCGTGCTTATTTTGTTTGGAAAGAACAAGAAAATAGAAGAGGAGAAGGGAGCAGATCAGACAGATGCTAACAAGGAGAAAGATTTGGCAGCAAGTTAAAGAGGATATATAACTGTTGGATTTGCCGAAGGTCTGCAGAAAATTAAACCATAGAGACTGTCAAGGAACTCAAACAAAGTGAAACGCCTCGCTGTATTGAATTATATTTAACTGCGAATGATTTGCTGTTTATTACATATAGGCGGACTTCAACAGAAATTCTAATCGAACTGATTCTCTACTTTCTTTATTATGTCTCTTTAAAAATTACTAAACAGTTTTAGTTTTATGACCAAGACTTAGGAATAAAAAGTGTAAACCGAGAAAATATTACTTGTTAACTAATTATTTTTGGGTGGGGTTTTACGGGTGGTTTTAGCCCAAACTGACATGTTGGAAATTATTAGCATAATCTTTACGGTATGAAACTCCTCGTACTATCTTACTGTCGAAGCTTTTGTTATATTTAGAAGTCCTGTACATTTTTTTGGTGCATATTAGACCTTTTGTCTCGTTAAAAAAACCATTCATATTATTTTCATTGCTAATTGCTAATAATACATGTTGTTTTAACTTGTCTCTGAAATGTAATTGAAGAGGTTTCATGGGGTGCAGTAATGTGAACAAAAATTAAAAAAAAACAAAATAATGAATTCAGTGGCAGCACATTTACTTGGTTTGTCGGGGTTAAATATCGAATTGAATTTTGGAAATATTGGTTTTGGGGACGAGGGGCAGACCGGAGTATAGAGGGAAACTCGCCTCCTGGATTCTAACCCTTCTTCTAACCCAAATTGGTGACGGGTTAGACTGCAAAACAGTCCGTATTTTTGCTTAGGTCAAGAACGCGGGAGCGGCCAAACAGGCCAAACGAAATCCGTAGAGCGATGGTGAAAACGGAGAGTCAGACTGGTGACTCTCGCTTCAAACGCCCCAGGGGCGTGTGTCGCTGGCTCGCTTCGTCCTTCGAAAACCGATTTTGACAAAAGAAATAAAGAAAAATCGGCTTTTGTGTAGTCAACTTCAACTTCAACTTTATTTCATAAGACTATTGGTTACAATAGACTGGCCCGCAAAATAGCAATTTCTAATCTAGGCGGACCTAGTAGTAGTTGTGTAGATTACGGTGCTGGAAGGCGAATGCTCTCAACATTAGGCCATCCTTCTCCCGAAAATGAAAATGAGCAGATAAATTGCATTTGATATCTCGGTGAAGTAATAAAACCATTACAGTTAAACAAAATGTCATGTGAATGGGAATCCAGATCTTTGATGTCATCGTTGAGAAAAGGGGTGAAAAAAAATTCGCGTTCTTCACTATGCGAGGGCCCGTGCATGAAACGCAATGCATTAAAAACAAGGATAAACATTCCTTAGGTGTCCCGCGATTATCTGTTTCTGGCAGTATATAATGGTATGGTCAAATAATCAAAACGCAAATGAGCGGTTTTGTTTTAAAAATCAGTTGGAAATCTATTCAGGCTGCGTGAGTAAAGAAAATAACCTGCATTTTTTTAATTCGCGGTCAAAATAGGAATATGAATCCAACCAAGTTATTCCTGATTAGCAGTGAGACTCAATATCGTTACCTCGCTGGAGACCTCGAGGGGTAACCTAAGTGTAATGTGCCTATCGCTTTGGGAGCTTTCTCCCTATCTTAGTAAGCAAAGCGTCACAAGGATAATTGGCTGAAAAAAAGCCTGCAAAAAGCTTTAAAAGTTCCATCTTCTCAATCTCAAAAGGACTCCCCTCTTGGCCCTTTGACGATTTGCCAGCACAACTGTGTGCATGTACCAGTCAGATTACATTTTTGATAGGAGAGTAGCCCTAGAATGGAAATTGAGTTTTCCTATGCTACTATTCCGCCATCTTTTACCTTTTTAGAGTTTAAATCATTGTAAAGTATCAATAAACTTAAACTTTAACTGTCGTGCCTATTTGGTTTAAGTTCTGTCTTGGCTCGTATTCGAAGACACTTTGGCAATGTACCAAATTCAATCCTGACAGCGAAAGTAAAACAGTTATAAACGTTATTTTAACTCATTAGGCTAATTTGAATATAAGATATATTTTTTGACACAGACCTTGGAATCGACGCGGGAGTTGAATAAACACCTTAATTTTAATTAAAACATTTCATTTTTTCCTGAAGTTTTGTTTTAAATTGTATTCTCTTTTAAAAGTGCAATATTGATTAACAAAAAGCTTGAAGATTCTTTACTTCGTGATATGCATTTGTAGAGTTCCTTTCTATAATCGCTTCAAATTAATAGGAAGACGTTGTCCATTTTATTGACTCTAATAAAATTAGAGCAATCTATACATGTTGGCAATTGAAGGAACGCTACAATTTTGGCACTAGGAATACCTTCCAGGGTTTGTTTACTCTCGTACATCGCGTCAGCTAAAATTACTGGTGGTCTTTTGTTCGAACAGTGAAAATTTTACTATTTAGTGATCACAACCTTTTTGAAATTCATAATAAAGTTTTACCAGTGAACCGCTCATTTGAATGCTGTAGAGTGCAAAAAAATTCATTTAAAGAAAGTCATGGCCGGTCCACCCCCGGTCATCGAAGGTTCTTTGAAAAACACAATTCATGCACTTGCGTTTGGACTTATTGTCGCCACGCTTGTGGTGAATTTCGGCAAGTTTTTCCTGCCGCACTTTTTCCCTTACATGATGGGAGTTGTGATATTGTTTGAGGCTGTGCTTTTTTCGTTGGACAAGCCTACAGAAAAATACGACGTATTTCAGCCCGCTGGTTTGAAGGGTCAGCACATGGTTGATGGATCTAACTCACCGCAAATAACAGTGTCTGCGCCCGGTGAAGACGCCGAATTTTCGCCCAGAAAACAAAGGGTCAAAGACAAACAAAAGGCAAGAAAAGATCATAAGGGAAGGAGAGAAAGCGGCATCCCAGGTTCACCTTCAAGGTCGGCTCCTAGGCATAGTCTAAGTGTACCACCGATTACTGGAATGGAAACGACTGATTGGGCGGGTGAGAAAGGAAAGGAGAAAAGTGAGAAGGAAAAGAGAAAGGAGGAAGAGAAAGAAAAGAAGAAAGAGAAAGAAGAAGAGAAGGAACGACAGAAAGCCGAGAAGAAGGAAGAAAAAGAAAAGGGAAAGGAAGGAGATGAAGATAAAAGTGAGAAAGGATCGTGGAGGAAACGACTTGGCAAGAAACAGAACAGTGAATAGTTCGATGCAGAAAGTTTGGTGCGTTCTACTGCTCAAAGTGATCCCTGTTTTTTCTGAGGGAACTTTAGAATCGACTGACTTATAAAATGCTGGTAGTTTGAAACTTAAAAAAACACACGCAAGATCTACTAAGTCATAACTTAAATGTCTTAAATTTGACAAATCGCATGGACTGTTGTTCAATCTAGATTGACAGTCAGTTAGGTCTAAAAGCGAAATTATGTAGTCATTTCAGCTGGAATACTACTAATCATGGTCGACCGTTAGAAACAGTGAATACTGCTTAAAGGTCTTACGAAGCTGTAGAGTGGCTCGACGTGAACAATACGGAAATAACGATGTTTAGCGCGCAGCTTAGTCAAGAAAATAACACCTGACAGTAGACGTATAGTCATTCCATACAGGGCTTTGATCGCANGACAGAAAGCCGAGAAGAAGGAAGAAAAAGAAAAGGGAAAGGAAGGAGATGAAGATAAAAGTGAGAAAGGATCGTGGAGGAAACGACTTGGCAAGAAACAGAACAGTGAATAGTTCGATGCAGAAAGTTTGGTGCGTTCTACTGCTCAAAGTGATCCCTGTTTTTTCTGAGGGAACTTTAGAATCGACTGACTTATAAAATGCTGGTAGTTTGAAACTTAAAAAAACACACGCAAGATCTACTAAGTCATAACTTAAATGTCTTAAATTTGACAAATCGCATGGACTGTTGTTCAATCTAGATTGACAGTCAGTTAGGTCTAAAAGCGAAATTATGTAGTCATTTCAGCTGGAATACTACTAATCATGGTCGACCGTTAGAAACAGTGAATACTGCTTAAAGGTCTTACGAAGCTGTAGAGTGGCTCGACGTGAACAATACGGAAATAACGATGTTTAGCGCGCAGCTTAGTCAAGAAAATAACACCTGACAGTAGACGTATAGTCATTCCATACAGGGCTTTGATCGCACAAGCTGGTGCTGTTAGTGCCTCGTGTTAATAATTAACTACAAACAAAATGGAATACAAGTTAATTTGCTTCAGTAGAAAATCTATTAAAGGTGTTACATCATCTGATTGAAAAAGTGTTTGTATTAGCCTAAAATGTATAATTTTGGTAGATAGTAAGATTTGTAAACCTCGTTTGGGTATCATGCTAATGTGTTGATATGCTGTTTAATTTGGCTCTTAGCCAAAAAAACCCTGTTTTGGATAAATTCATGAGCAAAAAGAGTCAGAAAAATACGAACGTTAGACATTACAATGTTCCCAAGTTTAATTAACCTTCGTTGCGTTCTGTACATGTAACCATTTAGCTACGCAACTTTACAAGTTGTAACTTCATGATGGAGAGCACGGGTGGCGCAGCGGTGAGAGCACTCTCCTCACCTTTACGAATCCTGGCGTCGACGCCATATATGTGGGTTGAGTTTGTTGTTGGTTCTCTCCCTTGCTCCGAGAGTTTTTTCTCCGGGTACTCCGGTTTTCCCCTCTTCATATTCCAATTTGATCCGAAACCAGATTCCAATTCGATCTGAAACGCACGGACACGTTTAAACAAGTTCTTAAGAACTCGTTAGTGCTCCGTGTGCAAACAAATTTCAAATGAAAAAAAAAAAGGAATTTTCCATAATTTGTCAAAAAAGGAAGAACCGAAAGGAACACCAATTCCCTTCATACGTACCAAGTGCAATAAGGACTTTACAAACATAGACTGATGAAGGACAAGTTTTTGTTGCTTTGAATAGACGTGACGAGTTCTGCCATCGTGCCTGAGGTAGTGTCGGCTTTGCCTGAAGTCCAAGCCAGCTTTCTTTCTTTTCCAAAGCTAAAAGCCACCTGCGAGCCTCTGCAATATAGCCGGGCCATTTCCGGATTGCTCAAACCAGGGCAAGTATAAAATCATTGATATGGATCATTGATATGATATGGATATGATCATTCTCTTCTCATGTAAACAAAAATAATTTTTACATGAAAGGTTTTGCACTTGGCCTCAAGCGAAGATGTATTTTTTTTTTTTGGAAATCAAAAATGGCCTATGTGGCCCCGGGCAGTGAAGAAGAGTTTGGGTCGATACCGGCGAGAGGTGCCGCCGAGGCCTTCAAAACCTGACCCTGTTTTAAGATAAAAATCGTTCACTTCGCTACTTTCTTTAAGACAGGCGACTTTATTTCATGACACTGATCATTTCGTTTCGCACACAAGTTGAGTAATTTTTTAAACTAACATCATGGAATTAGATTTTTTGGGAAAAAAGTTCTTGGTATCAGAAATGAGGACTGCTCATCACCAGCCTCAACACTCTTTTTTAAAGACTTCCGGTCCAAAAAACCCTGTTCAAGACGCCAAATAGTGAAAAATTGTATATCGTATCCTGTAGCCCTATAAGTTTCCCCAGCTGAGAGGAGTCACTTCCATTGCCAATTCCTTTTTCAACTGGAAAGTGCTGATTTGTTTTCATTGGTGGCACCGTCTTGTCTCATGGTCTTCTCCACAGCTGCTTTCGTTTTTCATGGCTTTTGTTTCAGATTGTACCAAACTTTAAAATTAACAAAAGCATGCAAATTTAATCGCAGGAAATTGCAGTTTTGGCGCTTTGATTGTTCTCTTGCGTCATTCAAATAATATCCTAGCAAAAAAGTACTTTGACAATCACCACTGAGAGACTGTCGGTAATCCTGTGCGTAAGACTTTCCTACTGGTTTCTTCTCTGCCTTTCTTGTGTTGTTAGACCGTACAATGCGATCACTTTAAATGCGCTGTTGTTTTTGGCAACTAGTCGTCGGCTAGAGATAGAAGTCACAAGAGAGCATTTCCACTTAGTTGCGTTTGCTTCTTGGAGCCGTTTAATTTGATTTTCATCCAGTCTACAACGAGAACGTTAAGTTCACTGGAAATTTCGTCTGACAAGTAGAAACGACGACACTAAAATTACACCGCAACATGTTTAACGTTCTTGGATTTGGTATAGCGTCTGCAGTTTTGCTCGTCGCATTCGGAAAACTCATCTCGGACAACTGGTTTACTTACCTTATGATCGCGATCATCCAGTTCGAAATGGCGATATTTTGGCTGGGTTTAAGAAGACCTATTGGAGAAACATACCAAATCCACGACGACTCCGATGTTGAACTTTCCAGGAATGAATGAGCAGTTGACAGAAGGACAAAACAGAGCTAAAAACATCAAATGAAATCACCCGAAATGGCCGAGTTAAAAAGAAGGAAAAAGAATTGAATGGTCTGAACAAATTCAACACAGGTGAAACCGAACATTTACAGCATTTGAAATTACTTGTGACCTGAGATCCTCTCAAGCATGGGCATCAAAAAAATACTGAGTTCGAAATCTTCAGATACGTGCGAAAACCAAAAATATATTTTTCCCATATAATTGCAAATGGCCCGTATTAAACCGAACGATGTTTATCAAACGTCTGGAACGAGGCATATGAGTTATCGTAATCATCAGTGGCAGATGGTAGCAGCCGGCTTCAATGGAAATAAACTAATCAAAATATGGATGTTCGTAACTGAAAAATCGAAACTTAAGCAAACAAAACTTGACTGATGTTAATTTTAAAAGTGGAATATGTACACACGAGTGCACCCAAGTTTCTCAGAAACCTCACGTCTACATATAAGCGATCGTAAACAGATATTTTCATAAACAAACATCAGAGTGGATACTCCCTTAACGGGTAATTAGGTTTAGCAAAAAAGCACGCAAATGCGAAGCGTGCGGAAAGGACTGGACACGACTTATCCGACTTCGTCCCCAGAGTCCTCTCGTTTTCCAAAATGGCGGAGGCGGAAACGAGGTTGCAATTTGGCGTTCTGTCATTGATCAAGTCGATTTTTAGATCTGCGCGCGCCGTGTAGTTATCTTTTTTCTGTGGACAGGCCTCAAATAAGACAGAGTTATCAACATACGAGTCAGTTACATAACAAACAGTTTTATTACTTAATTTGTGATTAAGTTCACACATCGTTTGAATATAAAAATAGTCACATAGTTTAACTAGTTAACACTCTTTAAATTTAATTTCACACTGTAATTTATCTTCCAGATATGTACACGTTCAGGATCCTCAGTCTGTTGCTCTGCAACAGCCTGTTCCCCAAAATAAATACGATACATCTTTTAACTTGCGGCAAAAATTCTTAGACACCATTGTTAATTCTCAAAGCTGAAGGAGACACGTATGAGGTAGTTTTAAGAAACTTTAACACGAGAAAACTACGTATGAATACTCATAACCGGTGTCAATCTTAAGTAAACCAACGTAATGACATCTTTAAAGATACAAACACAGTGACTTCTTGAGATACATCACGACATTACGAATAAAGCAGTGCGAAGTACCCGCTTCAAAGGAATGGAAAGAGGATTCAGCGAAAATCTAGCGCAATGAAGTAAAGCTAGTCATCTAACTGACATAGCAAGGCTACGCCCCTATTGACCCAATGCCTCTCGGGTTTATTAGATGGTAAGTCAACGTACATAACAAAGTTAGTGGAGTGCCCGGTTGTCGATAAAGTCCCTCGGCGCGCGCTTGTCTTGTACACTGGACTGGCATACGTAGGTTTTGGTTTAAAAGTGGACTTTTCACCAGGAATAATCCACATCTGTAAGAAAGAATGGTTAAGGAATAGCAACCAAAAAACATAAATGAAAGAATGATAGTGGGAATTTAGTAAACATACATATGACGAAAGTAAGCGCCAAAGTTCATAAAATATCTTGTGTTACTTTAAGTTAATTTTCCAGTCGCCTATATTTAGGGGTGCTTACTATTTACACAAACTTCATTCGGGCGGAAATCTTGTGCATAAAACTATAACATTTGTCATAGTGGGAGGAAGACCCGCTATTAAATATATCCAAATCAGCTGATCAGGCTTAAAAGAGTGGAAAAATTGCATCGCTTCAAATCACAGCACATACGTTCTGAAGTTTCCCAAACGGAATAGCGCGAATCATTTGATTTTCCAACCGGAATTTCCGGTTTGAAACGGAATGGCGCGAACCATTTGATTTTCCAACTGGAATTTCCGGTTTTCCTATGTAAATGGTAAGTACCCTTAGATTTAGCGACCAGTTGTCAAGAACAAAGCAATCCAGTCAAACACTCGTTCATTCAGTTAGTTACAAGATCGGTCAGTGCTTCTCTTATTTCAGTCTCAACGAATATGAAAATGTTACTTAAGTTTTAACTGATAATAGCTCAGCTATTTTATATCAAAGGATACCACAGGCAAAGTATCAAAAAGACTCTTGGGAAGAGATTCAGACACCACCATCTGCTCTCTGTCCCAGCGAGCTCCTTCTAAAAACAAACCCTGTAAAAAACGAAATACATAGAATCAATTGAGGACGAGATATATTGGGGTTTTGCCAACCTGAGACTGGTAAGCCGGCGTACGGTGGCACCCCGATATCACTTTCCCACGAGAGCGGAAAAACTCGTTTCGTTATAACGGGGATTCTTTACATCTTTAATTCCTGCTCCAAGCATTTTACTTTTACCTTAAATCGTTGAAGAACGCCATTCGTTTAACCGGAATTCATTCAGGAGCAGACTGATTTCATGGTGCCAGGCCTTTCTATATATGTTCATCAGGAGAACATAAAGGCTTTACGTTCTCTTGTGTACATTCAAACCACAAGGTTTTGTGCATATGATCGTTTGCACGAGGCTGATACCAGCTAGGCAAAAGATACGAGAGGTAGTGACTGCATGCAAGAGAACTGTCTGCTTTTGTTGTCTAAGAAATTTCCGAAGAATGTAAAAAAGCCTTTCAGCACAACCACAGCAGCAAAGTCGCGCGTGAATGTTGAGAAGGTGACTGTGACGTAGTGCGGGAAGACGAACGAGGAACGAAAGATCCTTAAAGAATTTCGGCTTTTATTCACACAGTACCCATGGTGTCACAGGAAGTTACCACACAAGTATTCCTTCTCGTCCCGAACGCAATTGCAGAGGCTCTAACGGTGCATCAAAATTTAGAGAAATATGCGTTGCGTCTGGATGCTATGAACAACGCGAACTTTGCAAGCGCAAAAGACAACCAAATTTGTTAACTTAACTGAGACTGTCGCTTATGAAAATCATGCAGACAAACGCATGCCATAATCTATGATTACTACCAGTTATAGAGGAGTCTTCAGAACTTACGTTAACATAGACGCCATCTTCAGGCTGGGAGTCCATTTCTTTCT